TGACTAAAAACATCAATGTGTTGCTAGTTTGACTCTGGAAACTCTGGAATAGCCGGTTGTAGTTAGGTAGAGCAACTCAGATCATAACCTCAACAGGAAATTTTCACAGCTGACATCTTTCTTCTCTTTACTCTCAGACTGCAAGCTTACTTATGATCCCTGCAGGCTTAGTCTGCTAGGCATTCCCATGATGCATTGAGTATTTCTTATTCACTCTTTTTTACTTTCCTGGTGTTTTTATCACTCATTTTAATTCATTTTCATCTCTGGCTCTCTTGCATGTGTGCATTTTCCCCCTCACCCCACTGGTCACTACTGGGGTTTCTTCCTGTTAAAAGGGAGTTTTTCCTTCTCACTGTCACAGAGTGCTTTCTCATATGGGGATCATCTGATTGTTGGGGGTTTCCTCTTTAATATTTAGAGGATCTTTATCTTACATTAAAAAAGTGCTTTGAGGTGACAGCTGTTGTCATTCAGCACTGTATGAATTGAATGGATTTGAATATCTGTCTTCTGCAAACAATCTGTAATCTGTGTGCAACTCTCCACTCAGTGTTAGAACAAAAAAGTAAATATATAAATAAAACTCATCCTGTTATCACTATTGAGCTGAGTTACATAAACTAGTGTAATGTATCTGTTTGTTAAAGGGGCAAAGATTCATCCTCTGGGGATTACCCACACAGTCCCATAAACCAGTGGTCCCCAACCTCTGGGCCACTGACCGGTACTGGTCTGTGAGAGTTTAGGCTCGAGTGTGAAATTTATGGTTTTCAGGGTTTTTCATCGTTAACTCGGTTTCCCTGGTTCTTTTCCTGTGTTGTAATTGTGCGTCTTATATTGAAAGAAATATTTACGCGTTACCATAGCAACCAGAGAGCATTAAGGGGCAGAGAGGAGGATGTTACTCTCAATGTTGTTGGCGCATTTCAGGAGGACGCTGCTAATAAAGTTACACAATTACACAGTGAATTTGTGTTTATTATTATATTTACAAAATACCACAGTTTTTGTCTCGGTCGTATCATTTTATTTAGTTGTATTTATCCGCAACACCTTAAAGGCCGGTCCGTGAAAATATATCTGACATCAAACTGGTCCATGGACCAAAAAAGGTTGTGGACCGCTGACATATACGACCATAGTCAGTTGTACTTCCTACCAGCTGCAGAAACTCTGACTCATTCTTTATAGCGAGCTGTTGCTCAATAACAGAGGACTTTACGTTGAAATGAATTTTATATCACAGTTCACTTTTTCACTCAAGGTTAAGTGCTTTGCTGTGGAAAAAGTAGACTAAATTACACATCCACATACAAGAATTGTTACTTCTTCTTCTAGTTATTAGTTGTATGATGCGTCTCAACACTGTTTCACACATGCAGCTATAAATATCGCTTCCTAACCCACTTCACCAAGTGCAATGATATACAAATATGGCCCAAATACTGTATAAGGTATATACAGTACACACAGTACTCTGCAGGAGACCTGGATCTCTACTGCCTATTAGCCGTGAGAGGACATGAGACGTGGATTCAAAGACAGTTGGGAGATAGAAAAGAGAGAAAAACTGAGTCAATCGAGTTTTGAGAAGAGAGGAAAAAAAGAAAAAACGAGGGCATAGTGAAAAAAAACTGAAAGTGAAGGAGGCGAATTATGTTTTTCACTTTTTAATTGGGCCTGTGGGGAATGCTTGGGGGATATCACAGCAAGATATCCCATCTCACTCTTTGGTATTGCAGTGATCAGATGAGCGGAGGCTGACATAAGCAGAACCACTGAGGCTGGAGCCCATTCAGGCCTGGATTGCACCCTCCACGTGCTCCCCCACCTTCATGAATTATTCCCCTTCTCCTTTTCTCCGCGCTTGTTCGCTATCTGCCGTCGCATCTGTAACTCCTCTGCCATGTTTTTAATCTCCCTGACTTGAAGGCAAGCTCCATGCGGCTATCTCAACATCACTTTCATATCACCATCTGCTCATTTCACGCTGCCTGTGTCTCCGTTTCTCTCAGCCCCATTTGAATGGCTTTATTGACACATCAGTAGCATATATCATATCTTGCAGCTGCTGAAAGAAAAATATTTTCATGTTTTCACCTTTTGGTTTAAATCGGGCTATTTTATCAGCTTGTCAGCAAAGTTTCTAACAAACTGTTTTACAAGAGGTGATCAATGTCTAACTGAGTGACTAAAACAAGACTTTTTTTGTCTTATAACTATTTATCTGTTACTTAATTACTTTGGTGTAGTATGAATGGTCTTTATCAGTAGGAAAAACACTAAACGTATTAAAATACATTTTAAAAGTCCAACATTTACACTCTCTGTCACATTTTCTAAAGCTGTCCAGTGGGCCAGATTGGAGTCTTTGCTGGGCTGACGTCTGACACCCTTTCGCAGTCTTTATCATCAGGGATAATAGTAAATGACCCAATATGAATTGTAGCACTGAAGTTTTTCTCAGCATTAGCCAGTGGAGCTGTGTTTGCCATATAACAAGAATAAGGCTCTTAATGTATCTACAGCAGAAACAGGAGTCAAGAGTAATACAAGGGAATGTGCTCATTTAAAAAATAAAAATAAAAAGCTGTAGCTCTTTCAGATTAATTTCATCTATTATGGCGAGAAGCAAGTGTGAAAAAGCATGAAATAATACCATGCTGGATTGATTGGAAGGAGGATGTTCTTGGACAAGAAATCAGGCAACAAACAGAGTAATGTATTTTTTTCTGCTCTTTGCACCTTTCTGGTTAACATCCAGATTCACATTTAGAAATGATTGCCTGGTGTTCATGCCTCTCTGAATGTGGTAAGCACGAGAGGCGCCGTAGCCTACAGCTTCCTAGTGCTGTTATTAGCGTCTTCTGCCACTAAAGTATAGCAGACCCATGGGACGCTCCCCTAAGTATGCAGAACATTTCATTGCAGTGCATTTTAAACCTCTTATGGAAAAGGCAGAGAACTTCATGGAGTTATGATTTTATATGCACCCACCTGCCTAAGACTTTGTGGCATCCATATAAAGCAGCAGTGGGATTTTTTTTATTACAAAAATATGATTTGAATTATGAGGTCGCACTGCCACTCAATAATTTTTGGCAAACAAAATGTGTAAAGTGATCTCACTCAGTCCCATAGCATCTCCTCCTTTCATCCAGATCTAGTTTTGCTTTTTCTTGTTGCTAATGTTTTGGGGTTTTCTCCCTCCAAATTTGGGTTATATTTAACTACGTTCATACACTTTGTTAAATGTATGAAAAATTAGATTTGGTTATGTATAGATACTCATATACACACACACACACACACACATAAGGTATAAAATCATATAAATGTTACTGTTATTATTTTACCAGAAAATTACGATGTACATTTGTCTCTCAGGTGTGATCGCCCTGTTTTGTCGTCAGTATGACATCATTAAGGATAACGAGCCCAACAACAACAAGGACAAAGCCAAGAACTCCTCAGAGTGCAGTACCCCAGAGCACCCGCAGGGGGGGTTACTGCGAAGCAACGTCTAAGATCAGCCCTGCGTCACCTTCTGCAATAACCAACTCCTTAAACCTCAGGACAGGTGAGAGACTAGAAATTTTTTTTTACTATTATCTGCAAACGATCCCATCGTACGTCATACCTCAGAAATACCCATCTTATTGTGTTTTTATGATGTATTTATGTCTTTTTGAGGCAGCAACCTTAATTAAGTTACGATATCAATGTTTTCTCTTTGACTGACCATTTATTGATCCCCTTTGCTGATGTGTCATTATATCATTGTGTTTTATTTTGGTTGTGGGCGTAGATGGTATGTAAAGATGGATGTAGTCACTGCAGCAGGTAGATCCTGACTGAGTTATCAGGAAGCTGATATTAGCGGACGGTCAATCAGTTGAAACAAACCTTTGGAACAACAAACCTAAAGAGACACTTAAAATCACCTTTACCCAGATGAACATGGATCGTTTTCAATGAGCAAACAGAGAAAATGTGAAAGCTAAAGCTAAGCTATTCAAAATTTGCTAGCCACAAGCTATCAGCCTCAGTATGAGCAAAGAATAAGATAGAGTGGTTTATAAACATACTGGAAAATAATGTAACCTTACATTTTTTTTAGTTATATGAATCTGTTGCAGCTGCTTGCTTTGGTAAGGTAAAACATGTCAGATGAAGGCAGATGTGCAGCAACTCATTTTCAGCTAATAATTCCAATAGCAGAGCACTTTGTCTTCAGGTCTTTGGTAAGAGAAGGTCCAGTAAAAATGTAATAATTTATTCTTTTTGCATCAGAGAAAAGTTCATTTTAAAAAAATCGGAAAAGTAGAAACAGCCTTTGATCATGTTATGAGTGATGTTGCATAGCTTGTCCGCTAGAGGGAGCTCTGCAACTTCCCTGTCGGCTGTTTGGAAAGCCACAAACAACAACCAAATAACCTGATCAGAGTCAGGAACGGCGTAAATTAGTAAAAATAGAACAACGCATTGTAATTTTTAAAAAAAGTTGTTTATGTTTTATGTGTCTGAAAGGAAAAAAATAGCCAATATAGAATAATATTGGGCTTTTAAAATCACCAAATATTGGTGTTGTTATCGGTCTTGAAAATCCCATATCCTTCAGGCTCTAGTGACATCAATCACCAGTATTGGGCAAGTTACTTTGAAAAAGTAATTAATTATAGTTACTAGTTACTTCTTCAAAAAAGTAACTGAGTTAGTAACTGAGTTACACGATTCTAAAAGTAATCGATTACTTGAAAAGTAACTATTGCGTTACTTTAGAAAAAAATGTAACCCTCTGGGGTGCAGGGTGTAATTGGCCATTTTTAACTACTTTTGATTTTCCCTCCACATTTCACCTTTAAAAACTATTTACTTTGCCTTGCTTGGTATCATTCTTTTCAGCACAACCTCATGTGTCTGAATTTACAGTCATGTTTTCATTTTGACATACTGTATTAACACAATTGTTCTAAAATCAGACAAAAAAACATAAAATCCGAGTAGAAAAAGTTATATGTTCTATTGTAACAACAACAAACATGTTTATTGAATCATATTTCATAACTTTAAATGCAAATATAAATTGTCAATTTTAAAAATCATGTAGATAAGTTTTGCAAACAACAAAGTTATTTGCAGCTATTTACCTTTTACCCCTTTTTTAAATAACCATTTCAAACTATTTACATAACAATCAGCTGTTCTGCATTAAATAAGATGCCACACAAATTATTTGTGCCACTCCAAAAAAATCATTTTCTCTGTCCACTATAAAGGAGAACATCACAGCCTGATACTTGCAGGCCTGACAGCAGCAGGTGTATCACGCCTCTTGTTTTCATTCAGCAGTCGAGTCATTGTTGTGACACACAACGCAAAACTATCCACAACACTACACACTAACTACACAAGACAACACATTAACTACACACTACAAAAATGCTAAACGTTACAAATCTCTTTTTCTGCTTTCTATCTCTCTCTCTCTCTCTCTCTCACTCCTAAAACTTCCACCTCTTCCTAAACAACCAAATGTCATGTTGCCATATCATCTTTTGATTGGTCAACATGGTGCCAATCAGGAACCATACCCGTTCCACCAACACGAATGGGCTGTTTTTTGTTTTGTTTTGTTTCTTGTTTTTTTGCTCATAAGCAGAGAGTGCTTGTTAGCACTGTACTTAAACAGTAAATGTGACGAAATTATTGAGGAAAAAACCCTGTGTATATATTGTTTATCATGACTCTGGTTTATCAGCACAATTTAAAAACTGTTTGTTGTTGCTTTGTCTTTAAGTGGTCATGTGATTGGCTTACCACGACTACTTTATTCTTCCTCAGCGAAACAGCAGCACTCATGCGATTGTTTTGCCCCTTTAGCTCCAGGTGTTGTGCCAAAAAGTGATTACCGTCCGCGGGAGCGCACGCAGCTGCTTAAAGCTGTAGTGCCCAGATTACTTACATAGACAGCTACTTAAAATGCGGTAAGCTGAACACAGCTCCAGCCGTCTGATTGTTGGAAAATAGTAACGCGACCGCACCGCATTTTCTTGTTAGTAACGGTAACAGCGTTGTAACAATAGAAATAGTAATAAGTTAGATTACTCGTTACTGATAAAATGAATGGCGTTAGTAACACCGTTACTTGTTATTATTCCCATCACTGTCAATCACTAAGAAGCAAGGCTGCTTTATGAAGCCATCGACACGCTTTTGCTGTGGTCTGACTGAGAGACAAGGCCATACTGGACTTTTATCAGTTGGCGACTTGTCAGTAAAAAACACAGGCTTACTCTAAACTCATGCCCTGCTTTTTTTGTGCTTATGGGGACAGTTATTTAAAAAAAAACAAAATCGTGCTCTATTCAGCAAAATTCAAAACTAGTGATTAAGACCATAAACTCATCAACTAATTGGTGACTTGGGTCATATTGCAAGGGAGCAAAAAGCAAATTTTGAGTGCAATTATCCACACAAGAAAGTACATTTTGAAAATGGCACAAAACAAACATCATCCGGACTAATCTTCAGCCTTTTGGTGTTTAAGTAAAATGACTCTGTTTCTTTCAGATCCTGAGACCAACGGAAAGCCATTCTCAGAAAATATACTCAAGAACAGATAATCCATTACAGAAACTCTTCTTGACACAATGGAGAGCTCTGCAGCTACAACAGGCACAAATGTGAACTTACAAAATGAAAAGCTGCCAAACAGTGAAAGAGGAAACACCAGATGATAAAACTCCTTTCACTTTTGTAGCAACCCAAAAATGGATCGCGGCTGATGCAGACACGAGATATTAAATGGCTGTCGGTCAAGCTCTTCTTGACGAGAACTGCTTAACCCGTATGTTCCAGTTACTCCACATCGGTGGCATCTAATCCCAGGAGTGGATCATTAAACATGAATGTCAGCTTCAGGTTTGTATCATCGGTCAGAGATGGCAGAAGTGCAGACTGCCACACACGAATAGCTGGTCCAGGAACCAGTCGGCACACAACAAAACAAGCTAAAGACTTTCTCTTTTTCTATGTCTGTCCATCTGCATCACCTCCTTTCTGTCTTTATAACAGCCCTCTGTGTAGCAACTCATCTCTCTCCCTGTCTCTCTGTGTCAATGTCTCAATGATAAGCACATTGCTGTTTGGTGCTTCTCCTGTCGTGATTGTTTTAGCCCTTACAATCCCAGTCCTGATTATGGAATGATTATATTGTTGGGTCGGAAGTATTAAAAAACGCACAGTTATTTGTTTTTAAGGTTAGATTTAGGAGTTTTCCTTCTCGCTTAAAGGGACTCTTAAGTCCAGCTTGTTAATTCGGGGATAAAAGATCAGGACAACGTGAAAAACCATGCATGTGCACAGTTGCAGCCAATTTGTTACCAGTTAGCCAGCTATAATTGTCTGTGCATCGGGGAGGAAAAAGACTGGCGTAGCTGGAAATAACAGATCTCTGTTCGTATTGAGGGTTACTGCTCATTAATGCATATGCAGCACCATATGTCATCTGCAATCGGCAGTGGGATGTGAAGGGAATATGGATGAAAATATGTAGGGCATGTTCCTAATGAAATGGGCAAACATTTTACCCTTTGTATACGAGTGTCTTGTAGACCAATAAGGGAAGCTGAGAAGTAGAAACCTTGAGATGTTGTCCAGTCACAGTCAGACCTGTTTTTATGCCCACCGGTAGCTATGAGTTGGAGTGGGTTCAGCACAGCTAAACAAGCGTATTGTCCAGGAATTGTCCAGGAAACAATTTGTTGATTGTGAAGACTTAGAGAGAACAATTTCATGAAAAGAAAACTTCAGTATTGGCTTGGGTTTAAGTTAGGGTGAGGGCTTTGGTTGGGGTCATCAGCAATGACAACTCAGCCCACACAGAGTGGCAGAACCTTTTGACTCCACATGAACAAACTGGCTTGTTGATTGGTTAGGTGTTTGTGTGCAATTTAGGTTTTCGTATGACTTTAATATGCTAATCTTTAGACTGCTCGCCTGCTTTTCTGTAGTCTGGGCAATGGTTATGTCTACCCCTGAAGTAGCCCACCTATTATTCCCACACTCCACCACTCCAGTCCAGGACTATAAAAAACAGTCCTGCCACTTTTGTCACAGTACGTAACAAACTAAGTGATATGAGGCTTTGTCCTGTAGATTTAATCACCCAAACTTTGATTGACTGACGATAACTGAAAACCTGGATATAATCTATGTGCTACTAAGTGTATTTTTCAGTTGTTACAATAACTAAAAATACAACTTAAACATGTGTCATTATCTTTAATACTCTTGACAGTTGAACAGTTCAAATTCATATTCATGTCTAATGTAACAACCAAACTAATCAGTTTTATGTGGCCCAACGACGGAAGGATTAAGTTTTTTGTATTGATCCGATACCAATTAATACATAACAGGTATTACCAATACTAATACTGCTACTCTTGACCTATGAAGGCAGCTTATGTAGGGCAGAGCAGTCTGTCAGGATTTATGAGATGAATCGTTAATTTGCAAATTTTAAACACTAAATCATCATAATTTTTACTTTCCGTAATAATTAGTTAACACAACGAAACACAACCTTCAGCTTTTCATGTATTTTCAAAATGAATTTTTTGGAGATCTGGAGTGTAAATGTGCCTGTCTCTAAAGCACCGTGGGTCAACTTCTGCTGTTAAAATGGGCTATAGGATATGAATAAAATAGACATGACAGTCAACACAAAAAAGGGAAGATACTTTTCATAGTGTGTGTTTAAAGTATTTTTTTTTATTTCCCAAAAAAGTTATTGGGCTCCATATTGAACTTAGACGACGGAATCAAAGTATTGATCGTATCACACTAGTATCGATCCTAACAATAAGTGGGTGGATCCAACCGCCTCGACTCAAGATTCCAGCAGGGTATTTTATGCAGGAAGGAGTTAATTAACATGTAAAAAAAATCATTAAAAAAAGACCAAAATCAACAACCAATTAGTCCTGCTACAAAGTATGTCTAACCATAGCCTCTTATAATTAGCTTTGGGGAGGGTGTGGCTCAGGAGGTAGAGCGGGTCATCTACCAATCAGAAGGTTGGTGGTTTATTCCTGTGTCTGTGTGTTGAAGTAACATTGGGCAAGATGCATCCATCGTGTGCGTGAATGTTAGATGAAGGCACTTGTCTAAGACTTGTCTAACAAGATCTAGAAAAAAGAGTCACTGGGTGAATGAGGCTTGCGGTTACAACCGATGTCAGAGTTAAAAGAGCGCTATTTAATAGCAGTCCCCAACCTTTTTTGCGTAGGGTATGAATAACCCTATTCATAACACATGGGAAAAGACCCAGGGAAACCGAATTAATGATAAAAACGATAAAAAATATCGATAAAAACTGATAAAAACCCTGAAAACAATCAATTTCACACCTGAGCCTCAACTCTCGTGGCCTGTTACAAAATGCCTCACAGACCATTACCGGTCCGTGGCCCAGCGGTTGGGGACCACTGTACCAGTCCATTTACCACCAGTGTGTACTTAACAGCAGCTGAAAGTAGTCCCCAAAATATATAATCTGCTAATTCCTGATTAGGCAACATTTGTGGGTAAAAAAAATCATAATTGCCCAGATGTTCCATGTTTAAAAACAGAAAGTAGATGTGTTTATGGCAGTTCTTAAGGTTTATGTCTTCAGTCGGAGCAGATGGATGAAAAGTGAGCGCTGCGGGCAGATTAGCGAACAGATTGTTGATTTTAGTCTTTTCTCGGGATTTGCAGACAAAAACATATATATGTAAAATAAGAAGAAGCTAATTCTCAAAAGCAAAAACAAATGGAGATTATATTTGAAGTCAAGGGAAATCATAATTTGCTACCTAAGCTTTTAAGCAGATGTGGATACAATATTAATAAATGAGAAATCCAGTGTACATTTTCATAGTGTTACTATTCCAAGGGATACAGAAGAAGGAGCGAAACACATCATCTGGCTAAAGATAAAGGCTTCTTTTTATTTTAAAGTTTCCTGTTGAATTATATTGTATTATCTGCACAAATATATTGGACAGCAGCCCCTTTACACCGATGCTCTCTAGTTGAGTTCCCTCAAAAAGTCAGACAGAAAAATGCTGCGAAGCTGAACTCAGCAGAGTTGCATCCTTATTAGAGATAATGAGTGAATGTCTGAATGCCTCGCTGGTTGAGATGGCTGCTAAAAAGGAGCACGTATACGCACATATACGATTTAAATACTGCCACGTGCTGAGAGAGAGCAGGGCTTTGCGTTCTCATCAAAATCAATTCTGCCAAGGCCTCACCCTGCCATCCATTTTTCACCCTCTCCCTACTTTATCAGCCTTTCTTTTTTCTTCCTCTGTCCCCAGCCACCTTTATCCACCTGCATTCTCCCCCATTTATGACTTCACCCTCACTTTCAATCCCTCTGTCACAATACTCTTTTCCTCATATATCACATCACCCTTCCTTGTTTCTACCCTTGACCAGTCTCGTCCTCTCTCTTCTTTCCTCTCCCCTGATTCTCATTATATCCACTTTCAGGCTCCCGTTAGCTGCCTTCTCCCTCTCGGCATCAGCTCTGCTCTCTCTCATTCATTCGGCGCCGGCCCACTGCCTATCCCTCGCTTGCTCTTCTGCCCATTTATCACCTTTTTGTCTCAGACTGGCTGAGATGGACACTTTACCTGGTAAACAAGTGAAAAAAATAGACTAAAGGGAGGAGGAAAATGAGAGATTCAGTGAAGGAGAACTCTTGAGGAAAGGGAAAAATAAGATAAGTAGAGGAATTTTTCACTGATAAGCACATTTAAGTATAGCTTAAGAAGCACTTTTTACACAGTTTGGGGCTTTTCTAAAACAAACAAACAAAAAAATCTGACAGCAAAAGCGTAAAAACTTGTATTTACTCTAATAACTGTTAGCATGTCTGGTTAACTAGCTAACTAGACAGTCCTATTCTAAACCAGCATTGTGTTTATGCAGCATTTCTGACATTGTGGATGCTAGCATTTCATAGTTGCTAATTAGCTAGCCTGCACTCTTTATTGGATTTGGGTGAACAGCACCAGCCACTAAACGTACCAAGCACATTGGTTAGTCTTTATTCTTAAAGCCTTTTTGTCTTTTGATGTGAGAATGGTTTGAATGTAATAGTAAGGCCTTTAATATTTCTTTATTAATACTATATAACTTGTAGTATATACCAGACCAGTCCTCTGAAAACCACAAGTCTTTAGGCATGATAACAGTATAGGCATATAGCCAGTGTTGCCAACTCCTCAGTAAGGAAAATTGCTATTGGTGGTCCTAAAAGTTGCTAGAAGTCACTAAATGACATCATCGCCTAATTGCATAATTGGTCATGCTCATGTAATTGTAACTGAGCCATAGGAGAGAGAAATAACATCGTGGAAGAGACATAAAATTAGTAAAAAAAAACCCACATCCTAAATACATTTAGAATATATTTAGAACTACAAATTAGAGCAGGGCGATATGGCCAAAAATATTTATCACGATATATATTTGAAAATTTGCGATAACGATATAACTGACGATATAATTGATGCGAGACAAAATACAACTCCACAACATTACTAGCGCAAAAAGACAACCT